GAGGGTCAGGTAACCCTGATCAAAGGCAATCTAACACCAATATAAGAATGTAACCCACAATTTGCATAAAACTTAACACATCCTATGTCATAACAATATGAATTTCATTTGCTAAAATGAAAATAGTTGTCAAAAAAAAAAGAAAAAAAAAGAATCCCATGTCAAAACTCATTGGAAAGATTTTATTAACCCAGGTACAGGTCGGCAACAAAAATGAAAAGATGTGCAAACCACCATAAACAATAAAAAATGTGTACGTAAATAACTAAATTAACAAATAACTCACATGCAAAAAACTCCCAAAGTTGGATTTCAAACAACAATAATAATAATAGAAGAAAGTTTATATAAGGTTGCAATCTTAAAATGTAGAATGACAGATGCACCTCAAAAATCTATAGGAAAAAGTTGTTTTAATGTTAAAAAGATCTCTAATTGATCATCTTGACATCGAGAAGTATGAATATGAAAAGAAAAAGATTTTGAGTCCCAAAATACCACATCTTGCAATACATTATCTAGACCATGCATTTTCAAGATTTTCATATATTTATAGATCTACTTGATTTTAACCATTTTTGGAGTTTACAATTTTATAATTAGATATGAAAATAGATTTTGAAATAATCTTAAGAATGCTTTTACCGATATTACATTTTATGATAAAATTTGGAGGTGCGCCTTAATTGGATTGTTTAAAGTTGCAATGTTGTAGAAGCTGCACCCATACAAATTACCTAATATTGTCAAAATAAACCCATCCACGAATCTCATTGTTTGATTCATTGTCCCTCATGATTTTCGGTGATTTTTATGGGTGCTATTATTATAGATTGCAGAAGCCCTACTAGTGCCTTCAAAATGCAATCTAGCATATAGCAATGGAATCCATTTTTGAAAACCCCTAATTTCACGACTATAACATTCAAATTTCTCAAAAAAAATTGATATTGAGAAAACCTAAAAGAAAGCTTACCTGGTGGTCTACTTCCCATTGGAATATGGCTGCTTTATCGCCGGAATCCCAATCCTGTGGCAAAAAATCCTCATTCGGATGCTTGACCGGTTGACGGGAGAGAGAGTGTGTGATGCAAATCAAAATTTGGATACTACAAATTTTAATTTTATTTTTGTTAATTTTATTTTAAAGTTTGGGTAGAATATTTATGTTTATTTTTATTTATTAAGACTAATTATTAAAAATAGGATTTTTAGGTTAGTTTGATAAAATCCATTTTTTAGCAAAGGTTTATTATTTAAAGGTCCACTTTTAGAAATTTTTGTTGCAAGATAGGAATTTATCTCAATAGTAAGCTTTCTTTAAAAAATATAAGAGATTACATTTATTTTGAAGCTTTATCTTTAGAAAAAATAGGACTAAATGATTTGGATATGAATAAGTATTTTCTTAGGGATTAGGGAAATGTTCACGTGATTTCTGTGGCTAATTGATTAGGTGATATGTAAAGCACCTATTAAGATTAACGGTTCTTTTTCTACAAGAAGTTTTAGAAAGTTAGAAGTGTATAACAGAAAGGAAAAATGCAGATTGTAATGAAGATTGAATTTGATGAATGGAAAAAAAGATGATATTTGAGAGAGAGAGAGAGAGAGAGAGAGAGAGAGAGAGAGAGAGAGAGAGAGAGAGAGAGAGAG